CCCCAAACCAAGAGCAGGTGATTTTCCCACATCAACCCATTTCTGGTGACTTCTTCTTGTGCTAAAAAAATCCTGCTTTGCAGGTTTGTAGAAGGGTTCAGAGTGACTGTTTGCTTGTTAGCTGTGAAATTGTGAAAATGCACAAGAAAATTCATGCTGTGCTATTACCAGTAAGAGAAGGTTTGTTAATGCAACTGAATCACAGGAATCAACCAGTTCCTCTGGTAAGAGCTGGGAGTTTTGTTTAGGTTGTTGGGTAGTACCTGTTATCAGTGTATATAAATGAAAATAGCAAGTGTAAGGCCCAGCCAGAGAGTTAGTAGGACAAGAACAAACAGGCTGTGATTCCTTCCTTTTGGGTTGTGGTCCTCTGGTGGTTTTTTATTGTTGCAAAATATCTGATACTTGATTGCATGATGCCTTGGAAAATCAACTTATTCAATGATTCTATCATATGCAGAAGGACAAATGAGATTTGGTTTCTGCTTTCCTTACGAGTTTAGGTCCTGTGACAGATCAAAGGGAAAGGACAGCTCCTGCAGGACACTGGTTTTGTAGAAGGTATAGGTCAGCCATGAAAATTCATAGCATTTTAGAGAATGATGTGAAAACTAAATTGCTTGTTTGGGCACTTGAATGCTGTTAGAAATGAAACATCTTAGAAAAAAGCTGCATCATATGATTCCCCTCCACACACACATTTTTCAGTCACATCAGAAAAATCAAAGAGTAGCTGCCTCTAAGTATCTTCTGTTTTTCTACCTCCCGTGCTGGCTAAAAGCAGAAAAGGAAGTAAAGTGTTAAAACAAATACTGAAGTTTATTAATGAGCAGTGGCAAAGAGATAAACTCGGGTAGGAATTCAAGCAAAGATTCAGATTGCTTGGAGTCTGTTCCATCTGCTGATGTAAATGTAAAATTTCACTAGTCTATGAAACCAAGCCAGACTCCCCCCACCACTTGGCTGCAATTTTTTTATACTATTAGTAGGTATCAAAAATCTGTTTAAAAAAAAAAAAAAAGAAATTCAGGAATTACCTATGTCTCAGGAAATTTCCAGGCTCAGAAGAGAGCTCTTTTACATTGACCTGTAATCTTTCTTATCAAGTGGTAAGAAATTGCTGACTTTTAGAAGATCATTAATTCTTTAACTCACCCAAAACTTCCAGCATGATCTTATTCAGTAGTTTGTTTCTCTCTTGGCAATGGCTCTCAAGATTATATTCTCCTGAGTCATTAAGTCAGAGCTTTTTCAGCCACACTCTAATGACTTCCATGAGAAGTCATTCATCATTTCAGTCCTTCCTACTTTAACGATACTTTGATCAGAGTTACCTCTGATAATAGGTTGACATCTAATTCAGGACACCATTTTACACCAAATAAAATGTTGAAGTTTCCCAATGTTGGCTATGACAGAATAGGAGCAATGGAAGTACAGGGAGTTCCTTTTTGGGTTTGTTTTTTTGGGGGGGGTTTTTTTTGGAAATAGCTCTACAGGTTCTAAAGAAAATAGAGTGGTGATTCATTAGAGGGAGAAAAGACAGGACAAAACAATCCCCACAGCAGTGTACATCTAGCCCAACAAAGGAGCAGAACTAACATCAGCATGAAGAGAACTTGCAGAAGACAAGGAAATAACCAGCCCCAGGCTGAGGAGGGTGGTCTCTGGAGATGAGGTTGGGATG